TTTGGCTGTGACTCCATCCTGGAGAGAAATATCAGCTGTGCTGCTGCCATCAGCACCTTTGTTTCTGGATGTTGGAGCTTTGCCCGTTCTTTGGTGTGTTCCTGTTTTTCTGAAAGTGGGATGGTTGCCGGGCTGAAAATTAGTAACATTACGTTTTACGCCAGCAATGGCTTGTTTATGTCAGGTAGGTTTAATCCAGCTTTTGTTGCTAACTCTAGTGTGTGCTCGACTAAGCCTATAGAATAAGCCAATAAAGCCTCTTTCCACTGAAAGGCATTTTTTTTTCATACATGTGTCGAGCATTTGAATCCCTTCCCATTGGCAAAAAAAGCTGGTTCTGACCCCCGCTGGCAATCTGCATGGCCTCTGTCCCCCATTACTGCATGTCTGGCGACACGATCATGCAGGCTTAGCGTTGATGATGTCACCAGTGAGACAGAAATGAGAAAAGTAGACAATGGAGAGCAACATGTAAGGAAGCGTAGTCAGTGCTTTATTGTTTCATTGTTTTGTCCAGCCCCCACATTTTAAAATGATTGATTAAAGCGAAAACTATTTCTTCTACAAGGTTTTAGGGTACTGTGCATTTTTAAAAGAGTTTTTAGAGAAAACTTTATTTAAACTGCCACAAAGTAATGCTAAGCTCATATCACCTATTACATACAGGAGACGTATTTGCTATTAAAGGAATAGTACACCCAAAACATGATTAGCCTTCATTTTCTACTCACCCCCATGCTGAACAACACTCTAGAGTACTTTTTTGATATCTCAAATGCATCTGGAGATCTGGGAGGCTTCTTGCTGTCTGCTGACATTCAAATAATGGAGGTCTATGGCGCCCGAGGCAGAAAGGTCCATAAAAGTCCACAAAAAACGTGTCAATATTCCTCCATACTGCTCGTCCAATGTATTCCAAGTGTCCTGAGTGGGTAGCATCCAGAATTTACTCGAAACGAAGTCATTTAGAATGTTTTTAGAGCATAAACAGTAGTGTATAGGATTTCCTAAAAGCGCGTTCACGACTCTACGGAAACCGCGGCAGACCAAACCAGATGAAAGTCTCTCTAGATCCAGTACTGTGTTGTTCCTTACACTAAGACTTTAGACAACTTTTACTGTCATTGTCATGAACCGAAGACCGATGGACCCAGTATTCAAGGAGATACAGTCAGTAGGAAAGTTCAAACGTTTATTAAATAAAACAAAACAAAAGTCAGGGATCCAGATCAGACAGGAACAGAAACAGGTGGCAGGATCCAGACTTCCAGGCATCCACAGGCTCCCAGGAGGGTTCAGAGTCTGACTGGGACCAGAAGCATGACCATGCACAGGAGCAGACAGGATCAGGTGCAGTGGAAGAGGGTAGCCGAGACAGGACGTGGAACTGGAACTTGAAGCAGGACTTTAAACTGGTCTCCTCCCTGGAGCCAGGCTTACTGGATAAAAACTGAACCTCCCCACATATTGAGCCAAAACCCAGAGGACTCCGCGGGGGAGGAACAGTGGACGATCAGGAGACGAGACAAACACAAAAACTCTCTTTCCACTGGCAGCTAGGATCCAGGACATGAACCATGAAATAAAACTGAACAGATAGACTAACAAAAGACAAGTAATGATCTGGCCCAGAATGCTCAGGCTGAACTGAATATAACCCACAGGAAACAGGTGAGGGGAATACATTATAATTGAGGCAGGGAGGGAAAACAGGTGAAAGGAATTACTAATTAAGGAGGAGCAAACAGGCCAGATCATGACAGTCATTTTGTATACACAGAGTGTATACAAAAAAAGATTTCATTTTGTACAGCTTTCTTATGCTATGTTCTCTTTAGCTAACCCTACAGCTGTCTACAGTATGTCTGGTGACTGGGAAGACCATGGAAGAACGTTGAAATAGGTTTTGGCCCCCTATCCTGCTGACAGGGCCATGTACGAAGTACAAATCCTGCCATGATTGAAAATACATAAACCCCACCCCCTTTACAGGAGAACAGAAGACCCTGACTATTCAGTTAACCTAACAATTCCCTTTAATGACCCCCCTTTCAGAGACATAGACAGGTATGGGGCATTGCAGGCTAACAAAGAAGCCAAATGACCCCAATTCCAAAGGGGGGGACCCGTTCATCCAATTCTATTTGCATGTTTTCTAAACAAAAGCAAGGCTTTGTTGGGCTGCTGGATAAAACCTGGAACTAAACGCTATTTCTGACATTTAGAATTGAAAAATTTTCCTGGATGGGAAACAAAACGTCTTCAAACTTGGAAACAAAGTCCAGTGGATTGTTTTTTTTTACTTTTTTTTGGAATAACCAGCTGCTATTTAAATACAACGTAAGGGTTACTGTGGAGGCCAAGCTTTTAAGATGATGTAATTAATTTGTGGCATAATTTGTTAAAACTAACTGTTTCTTAAACACTTATTTCATTCTTCTGAATAAATTGACTTAAATATTGGACCTAGAAATGAAAATCCTCGTAAGATGATGAAGCTTCTATAAAATATTAACTGACAATCAGCATTGAGACCACGACAGTGCTACTAAAATATACTGCATGTGTAAATTAATTATATATTTGCTTTATTACACAGTAAAGCAGAAACAGCAGTTATTTCATACCTTTCATTTAATTTCTTTTCAAATTTGTTTTATAATCTTTGAGCAACGGTGAAAACTGAAGCTTCCTCTCTTCTTATTATTCTGCCTGGTGTATGTTGGATAGTTGCCATTCTGTGCGCTGCACTCGCTCACACTGGAACTCTATGAAAATTAGGCAGCACTTTCTGCACACCTGCATCCAATTACACGGCGAGCATCTTATCAATCTTAACTCCGCCGTCTCATCAGCACTTCTACTCTTTAAACGTCTCTGCCGGGAACTTCCTTCTGAACCGTTGGGGCCAAATTATACACTCACTTGCAGAGAAAATAAAAAAAACCTAATGTAAGTTTCTGAACTGCACTCTGAGATAGGAGGAAGGACACGTTGATGTCGACGTATGGTTTTCAGAGCAGCTGAATGCTCCAGAATGATCTTTTATGGACTGTGTAGCATTTAATTATAATTAAAGGGTTCAGCTTCCTGCAGTTGGTTCCTTCCGTCAATACCTTTTTCTTTTGTTCTTTTAATTGCACTTGAAACATTTATTTAATCTCTCAACATTAGGCTTTTAAAAACATAGAGAACAATCAGTGTTTGCCTTTTAAAATCAGAGCAGCACATCCTACCATTAGTTCCTCTGACTGTTTTTATTTTGTTAAAACTCACTTAGGGTCTTATTGTCATAGTATAACCTAGTAGATCTTCATGTTTATTTTTTAATAAAGAGCTGAATTAGTCTTAGTTAAACAATATATGGAATATTATAGAGGGCCTTTATGTATGTATGATATCAGTATGATAACTGTATTTCTCTTAAAGTAATAGTCCGGTCAGCAAGGAATAATTAATTGATCATTATTTATACCTAAAAATGAATAAGTTTGCAATGATTTAATGAATTAAACGGTTAATCAGTAAAAAATGAAACTAATAATTTTCATCGCGATCACTGAGTCTGGGAGCGGCCATTTTTGCCCATATATAGTAGCCCCTCCCTCCTGCCATCTTCCAGCAGTGACGTCACAGTGCGGTCAGCCTAGCGCCATTCTCCCCGCTTTACAAGCTAAATCAATGGGAACTACTAGACACATCTGCAATCAACAACAATTATTGAAGATTTCCAGAGGACTTCACCATTGAAATTCACCAGAGCTATAGTGAAACTGACAATGCCCACGTGCATGGCAGCTGGATGCTGGAATACATCGGGTAAAAGTGGAAAAAAAGAGTTATTCCACCTTTCTGATTCCTGATCCTCCACGGACGGGTTGGTCGTTGGATCGCCAACTTGAAGAGGGAGGATTTGCCATCGAACTTCTGGCCAGAGAAAAAACCCGTAATATGTAGCCAACATTTGGAAGAAGAATGTTTTCAAGATGACTTGGATAATAGCGCGTTGTGACAAACACCAGATACAGCACTGGGACTTGATCAACAGCCGATACCGCACCGTGACGTCACTAACCAGTAGGTGGCAGTAGTGTTCTTTGACAAACATGGATGCCTCCAGTAAAGCACATTCACATGAAAATTACTCTGAATTAAAAACATCATTTATTGAACAGGATGGAATAATTTCAGATTTAAAGTATTGTCAGAAGTTTGAATTTTGAATATGAGCAGACTTTTCCGGTAAGATCAGCTGACCACTAAACTTTAGACGCTCAAAAGATGAATCTATGATCTGTGGGTCGGTATACAGAGGCCTGGTTAAAACCTTTGGTTCATGTTTATTGTAGAAGGGATTAAGCTACATCTAAAAAAAACAAAAAAAACATCTGGTGGGGAGTGTGCCCCCTAGGGGGATAAAGTGTAGTTGTAAGGAGTGTGTGGTAGGGATAAGAAGCATAAATTACCAATTGTAAAGGTATTTTTTTAAAAGAAATATGTTGATAGCGATGTTGAGATTAATAATAGGGCAAAATGGCTAAACTCAAAATAATGACACCTTAACCTCTTAACATCCACCTCATTTTGGGTAACCCTCGCCTATTTTGCATACCCAAATGAAAAGCAAATAACTTAGATACTGTAAGCCCAAATTACATGTGTAATACATTATTGAAAGCTAACATCCTCTAGTTTCCTAATATATAAATAAAAGTTGAGTGACTACAACAGAAACCAACCTGCATCAGTTCAAACATGACTCAAAGTTGTTTATTCTCAGAAATGATAGGTCTAACAGCAGTAATAAAGACATTCTTGAGAAAAAAAACAGGTTTTATTGTATTATATTTGTTCTACATCATGTAAACCACAAATGCAGAAAATTTTAGTCCTCTAGCTATAAAAGTTCCAGAGCTGTGGGGTATGAAGCATTTGGTAAAACAAAAATAAAAAAACTCAAAAACAATTCTCCTCCCAATATATCCCAGACAGCCAACTGCATGGATCCACTACACCACTGGTCCCAGATACAGGAAGTCCCTCCCAGCTTCCCATTTTATAGAGGCTCAGGCTCCGAAGAGAGCGACACCTACTGGTGCCGCCTGTTATTTTGAGATTAATAAAGCATTTTTGAATGCTTTATTAATCCCAAAGGAAAATTAAATGGTACCAAATCAGATATATATAACGTTGTTGCCTTAATTGCACATCCACCCAGACATCTCTACAGCAGCAGCACCTACTCCATAAAAACCTGCTGTAAATTGTTGAGCATCTCTCATTTCTGATCTTTCATCATGTTTTTATGAAGTGGTTAGGATACTGTCGGCTCGCCAATAGAATATAACACAATATAACACATGGATAGTAGAGAAGAGGATTAGGGCCACTGGGGAAAAAAGTTAACTGATTTTTAAATTTTATTTCAGTATAATATGAGAAAAAAAGTCAGAATTCTGACTGAATTCTGACAGCTAACAAACATGTTGGCATCAAGCCGTAGCTTGTTTCAATCACCTTCTGCTCTTCGATTAATGAAATAGCATCACCGGGTTCCCCTTGGGCACGTAGCTTTTACACTTTGTCTGACTTGTAAGCTACTTTGGAAAAAAGAAACCTTCTCAGTCTGCAACGCCTTATTATAATGGTTTTAAACCCACCTATTATGCTTTATATATTAATTATTTATTTGTCCTGAAATATTCTTTGTTCTTTAGGTTTTTTGTCAACTTTCCATCTGCGAAGCAGTATTTCAGCCAGTTCCAAGACATGGAGGACCCTGAGGAGATGGAGCAAAGCAGCCAACTGAGGCAGCACGCCTGCAGGGTGATGAACGCCCTCAACACGGTGGTGGAGAACCTGAATGACCCAGAGAAGGTGTCCTCAGTGCTGGCCCTGGTGGGGAAGGCCCATGCCATCAAACACAAAGTGGAACCAATTTATTTTAAGGTAGGAACTGAAAACTAAATCATTCATTTTTCATTAATTTATTTAGGTCAGATATTTCTGTTTTAGACTTTCGTTCTCCATTTTATTTTACATACCTGCATTTATTTTGACACGCAGGTAGTGTTCACTTTTATATTCTGGAATCAGTTATCAGAACAATGTACAGATCTAGTTTGTAGAGGCAAAATGCTTAAAATGTACCCAAGTCAGACGCCTTTTCTTCCTTTTGCATGAAATCTGTAATTCACTGCAGCTCAGTTAATGATCCTAGAGGTCAGCGAAACGAGACTCAGTCGCTTTCTACAAGTTTCCTTCCAAATTAGATCGTACTTAAATAGTTTTTCTCTCCTTGCGGTCATGCAACAGCCTTCAGATGAACAGAGATTGGACAATTATGAGAAAGTGGCTGAAGGCGATATTACTCTAATACACAATGCACCTGCTAGATACAGAGTTATAGAGAAGAGGAGAAAAGAATAAAAAAAAAAATCCTTTTATTGCGAAATAAATGCTTACACTGAGATTTAAAGGAAAAGTCCAGTGAGCAAGGAATGATCAATGGATCATTATTTATACCTAAAACTAATATGTTTGCGATGATTCAATGTATTTAACATTAATCAGTAAAAAAAACAAAACAATAATTTACTTCGCGATCACTGAGTCTGGGAGCGGCCATCTTTGCCCCAATATAGTAGCCCCTCCCTCCTGCCATCTTCCAGCAGTGACGTCACGGTGCGGTAAGCCTAGCGCCATTCTCCCCGCTTTACAAGCTAAATCAATGGGAACTACTAGACACATCCTCAATCAACAACAATTATTGAAGATTTCCAGAGGACTTCACCATTGAAATTCACCAGAGCTATAGTGAAACTGACAATGCCCACGTGCATGGCAGCTGGATGCTGGAATACATCGGGTAAAAGTGAAAGAAAGAGTTATTCCACCTTTCTGATTCCTGATCCTCCACGGACGGGTTGGTCGTTGGATCGCCAACTTGAAGAGGGAGGATTTGCCATCGAACTTCTGGCCAGAGAAAAAACCCGTAATATGTAGCCAACATTTGGAAGAAGAATGTTTTCAAGATGACTTGGATAATAGCGCGTTGTGACAAACACGAGATACAGCACTGGGACTTGATCAACAGCCGATACCGCACCGTGACGTCACTAACCAGTAGGTGGCAGTAGTGTTCTTTGACAAACATGGATGCCTCCAGTAAAGCACATTCACATGAAAATTACTCTGAATTAAAAACACTGATCATTTATTGAACAGGATGGAATCATTTTATATTTAATGTACTTTCAGAAGTTTGAATTCTGAATATGAGCGAACTTCTACTTTAAAAAGTTAACCGAAACCATACTTTAAAAGCCTCACATTACCAATCATGCTTTTCATATGTAAAGTGGCATGGATTAAAACTTGCTGAACAATATTATGTGAGCTGAGACCTTCGGATCTGTTTGAGCAATTTGTTAAAAAATGTAAAAATTCTATTTCATAAATCATACATGACTCAGGAGGATGGTTGTAACTAGTTACAGTTTCCTGAGCATTTTTTTGAAAAACAAAACAAAAGTTATCTATTATATTTACTTAAGTATTCCGTAAAAAAAAAAAAAAAATTCACTGGACTTGGTTTCCAAGATCTGAAGACGTTTCGCCACCTCTCCAGGAAGCTTTCTCAATTGGCAAAAGTCTTCAAATCTTGGAAACCAAGTCCAGTGGATTTTTTTGAACTTTTACGGAATGACTATGACCTGGATGACTGAGAATCTTCATCAGCATTAACTTAAGTTATATTCTTGTGAGAATGCTGCTTTTTCTTGAGTAGATCTTGTGGTTATTCTATACATCAGTAGTTATTATTATTATTCAGAGATCAGGTGTAAATACAGTAAAACCGTAGAAATTTTAAGTCAAATTGATTTCTCTCTTTGTACTGTTTAGATAAATATTTTAATAAATATTTAGTATTTTTTTCTGCCTGAATATATATTTTTTATAATTCAATTCAGTTTATTTCTATAGCTCCAATTCACAACACGTCATCTCATGGCACTTTCCAGTTCAACAGATCATCCAGCCAAATTGATTCTAAATTTTCTAGCTAAGGAAAATCAGTTGATTGACTCGAAGGCAATCCCTCACACTAAGCATGCTTGTAGCGACAGTGGAGAGAAAAAAGGGACAGGAAGAAACCTCCAGGAGAACCAGGCTCAGTGTGAGCGGCCATCTGCTGAGGCCGACTGGGGTTCAAGGAGACAGAAGCAGACATAGAAAAAGAAGCATAGATACAAAAGGCAGCTGTAAAAGGCGGCCCCGTCCAGGAAACACACAGCCAGGCAGACGAGCTCCGAGCCAGCTCCCATGTCAGAGGATGAAGAGAGCACATCCAATTCAATTCAATTCAATTCAGTTTATTTATATAGCGCCAAATTCACAACACATGTCATCTCAAGGCACTTTACAGTTCAACCAGATCATACAGTCAAATTGATACAAAGTTTTCTATCTAAGGAAAACCAGTTGATTGCATTGACTCATTGACTCAAATACAATCCCCCACACTAAGCATGCTTGTAGCGACAGTGGAGAGGAAAAACTCCCTTTTAACAGGAAGAAACCTCCAGCAGAACCAGGCTCAGTGTGAGCGGCCATCTGCTGAGGCCGACTGGGGTTCAAGGAGACAGAAGCAGAGATACAAAAAGCAGCTGTAAAAGGCGGCCCCGTCCAGGAAACACACAGCCAGGCAGACGAGCTCCAAGGCAGCTCCCATGCCAGAGGACGAAGAAAGCACATCCACTCAGTCACGGTCAGAGAAACAGGACCACACTGGAAAACAGGCCGATCTCCAACATCTATTAACAAGGGTGTTGATAGAAGCAGCACAGCTGATGTTTTTTTTCCAGGATGACGTCACAGCCAAACAGGAACAGACGAGGCAAAGCTACTCTGAGGAAAAGCAGAGAGAGCAGAAGGTTAGAGATTGAACTAACAGATTCTGCAGAATAGGAGAACAGAGAGAGAATGAAGCAGAATGATGAAATGGGGGTCCCTATGTCCTCCAAAAGTCTAAGCCTATAGCAGCATAACTATAGAGATAGCTCAGGATAACCTGAGCCACCCTAACTATAAGCTTTATCAAAAATGAAAGTTTTAAGCCTAGCCTTAAAAGTAGACAGGGTGTCTGCCTCACGGACTAAAACTGGTAGTTGGTTCCACAGGAGAGGAGCCTGATAACTAAAAGATCTGCCTCCCATTCTACTTTTAGAAATTCTAGGAACCACTAGTAAACCTGCAGATTGAGAGCGAAGTGCTCTGTTAGGAACATAAGGAACAATCAGATCTCTGATATAAGATGGAGCTTGGCCATTTAAGGCTTTATATGTGAGAAGAAGGATTTTAAATTCTATTCTTGATTTAACAGGAAGCCAATGAAGAGAAGCCAGGATAGGAGAGATATGATCTCTCTTTTTTATTTTCATTAGAACTCTGGCTGCAGCATTTTGGATCAGCTGAAGGCTTTTAACTACAGTTTGTGGACTTCCTGATAGTAAAGAATTACAATAGTCCAGCCTTGAAGTAACAAATGCATGGACTAGTTTCTCAGCATCACCCCTGGACAGGATATTTCTAATTTTTGCAATGTTCCTCAGATGAAAGAAGGAAATTCTAGAAACCTCTTTGATATGGGATTTAAATGACAGGTCCTGATCAAAAATAACACCAAGATTTTTTACTTTATTATCTGAAATCAGTTTAATCCCATCCAAATGAAGTGACTGGCTAATCAGTTTCTTTTTCAGAGACTCTGGTCCAAAGACTATAACTTCTGTTTTGTCTGCATTCAGAAGCAGAAAGTTAAGAGTCATCCAGGTTTTTATGTCTTCAAGACATGCCTGTAATCTATGTAATGGGTTAGCTTCATCTGGATTTATAGACAGATATAGCTGGGTATCATCAGCATAACAGTGGAAATTAATCCCATGCTGTCTAATAATTCTACCAATTGGGAGCATGTATAAAGTAAAGAGAATTGGTCCTAGCACTGATCCCTGTGGTACTCCACAGGTAACCTTTGAGCGTGTTGAAGATCTATCATTAACATGAACAAACTGAATTCGATCAGATAGATAAGATTTAAACCAGTCTAGTGCTGTTCCTTTAATTCCAACAAAATATTCAAGTCTTTCTAAAAGAATATTATGGTCAACTGTATCAAATGCAGCACTAAGATCCAACAGGACGAGCACAGATACAAGTCCATTATCTGAGGCCATGAGAATATCATTAGTGACTTTCACCAGAGCTGTTTCAGTGCTATGATGAGCTCTAAAGCCAGACTGAAACTCTTCAAAAAGTTCATTATGGTGGAAGTGATCGCAAACTTGTTTGGCAACTACTTTCTCAAGAATTTTGGATAAGAAAGGAAGATTGGATATAGGTCTATAATTGACCAAGTCATCTGGGTCAAGAGACGGTTTCTTAAGCAGAGGTTTAATTACAGCAATCTTAAAAGCTTTAGGTACATATCCCTGTAACAGAGATAGATTAATCACATCTAAAATGGAGGAGGAGATCAAAGGGAATACCTCCTTAAATAACCTGGTTGGAACTGGATCTAACATACAAGTTGAAGGCTTAGATGAAGACAATAATTTTGCTAATTCAGAGAGTTCAACTGGATCAAAGCAGTCTAAACCCGGTTCAGATTCCATGACTACCTCAGGTACAATCGCGGATAGAGGAGTGCTTATGATCTTATTTTTAATAAGATCAATCTTATTTATAAAGAATCCCATAAAATCATTGCTGCTAAGAGCAGGTGGAATGGACGGTTCAACAGAGCTATGGCTCTGGGTGAGTTTGGCAACTGTATTAAAAAGAAATCTAGGATTATTCTTATTCTCCTCTATTAATGAGGAGAAGTATGCTGCTCTTGCTTTACAAAGGGTCCTCTTATACAGCAGTAAACCATTTTTCCAGACTAG